CATTGGTTGCAGTAGGCATGAGGAAGAGAGCAAGCAGTGTCCAAACATGCAAAAATTATGAGTTTTGGCCTCTAGGGGCCCCATTGAAACAATCTGATTTACTTTGCTTATGTGTCCATCAGAGCAATTGGTAGCTAGAAGCATCTCTTGAGTTTTCTTCTCATTTATTTGTTCCATTATCTGTTTTCTTTTTTTCCCTTCCCCTTTAATAACAAGACCACAAGCAGCCGCTCATCTCTCAAGCCATCAGCTGTAAGCACCATGTTTCTGCTCAACAGGTGGTGAGCTATGGATTAAAAATATAAAAAATTGGCATCTTTTGCAGATCCCACTTGTCTTTTTGCAGGCCAGGTAACATGGTGTTTTATCAACCTTGGAGTATTTGCAATTCATCCTTATTTTGTGACCCTTTGCAAGGAAGAATATTTCGAACTTTTAAATGATAACTTTAGAAGGCTTTCTGTGAAAGGGAGAAGGGTACAGTTTAATTTTTGTCCAAAAGTTCCATGTGTTTCCTTGTGATATGTGATGAACTTTACAACTCTTCTCTTTTTTTCTCTGTGATCCACCCCTTCCTCTCCCCAGCATTGTTTAAAACAGGGAAATTTTTTTATAGCTGGATGAATATCTAGTTAATACGTTGCCTTGACCTCCAAAGTTTGGGCTCTACAAGGTATTTGGAGATGTCAGCTGAAAGGGTTCATAAATATTTTAACTGCATTACCTCACTCTTGCTGCCATAACATTAAAAATGTGCTTTCCCTAAATGTTTGCTACAGGAGTCTGATGGTCACGTCTGTGTCTTCTGGCAGCTGCCTCTTCTACCCCAGCACGAGCTGCAGGAGACAACAGCTTGAAATATTAATGAGAGCTAATACAGCAAAATTGTGCTGAGAGAGAGAGGCACACATGTGCGTGGATGCGTACTGTCCATGCACATGTGTTTGATATATTTGCATGCAAGGTGAGATCCTAAGTTGCAGAGCAGGTATTAGCTGGTGTCCAGCAATGCAGCACATCCAGCACAGCTGGGCTGCCTCAGGCCCTGTGGAGATTTTCAGATTCCCTCTGAAAAAATGATGTGACCTCATGGAAGACTTTGACAGAGGTTTGGGTTGGAACCACAGCACTGAGAACTTTATGCTAGGAGGGGATCCTCATAGGTTCATTTGTGGCCCCCCACACCAGGGAAATGATTGTGTGTGATCTTGCTGGTGAGGAGAGGCAGGAAGAGATGGTCACAATACGTCTGAGCTCTGTGTGTGATGTGTGCCCCTCTAGATAAGCAATCCTGGTTTGAGCTTATGATCTGGTGGGTCCAGAGCCTGGGATGAGACAGGATTAATATTTTCATTTGTGCATTTTGTTAAGCATATCAGTATTTTCTGCACATGGAAGAGGGATATTTTCCTTCGTACATGAATACTCCAGTTACTCTTAAGAAAGCCTGCAGTCTCCTGTTATCAGCCAGTGTCCAGCTAGTTTTCTTCATAGCAGAAGATGTTTTTCATTAGATTTCTGTTTTAATAACAGAAATGGCAGTCAGTGGAACTGGCCTTGGGAAGTGCCAGTCAGGCCAGGAGAGGCAAGAAGAGGTGTTTGGTGGTCCCTTCCATGGCTTGCTACTTGTGCAGCACATTCCTTAGACAAATCTTGAAGCTAAGGTGTGAATGATTTCTCATACCATGAACTTTATCAACTTGAAACACAGGATTGAAGGATGAATCATTCTCACTGAATGATTCTGAATACTTATATCTTCTCCAGCTCTTTTTCTGCTGTCTTGTGTCCACCTTAACTTAATGTAACCTAAAAACATGCAGCCCTTCAGTACAGTGGGTCAGGGTTGTACTGCACTTGTAGGTCCTGCTCCCTTGGCTAGTGAACAGGAATTTGCCTTTCCTATTGCCTGCTCACAGGTTGCTTTCTCTTGTTTCCCCAAGCATTTAATACAGCATTGGATTTCCTCTGGTTTCCTTCCTCAAGCAGGAAGCAACAAAACCTGATCTAAATTAGCTCATATGCACTCAGAGTAGAAACCCTGTTTAAATATCACACAGTGCCAGGCAGAGCAGCCACGGTTTGTTTATTTAGTAATTATTTATCTATTTGTATTAACTACCCAGGGATTAACCAGTTTACCAAATGAGGGAAAATTGTGAAAGCTTTAATTACACAAACAGTGCAAGCTGAACATTTTGCCTTGTCACACAGACAAGTGAGAATTCTGGGATGCCTGGTGGTTACAGCTGGGTGTGTTGTCAAAGCACTTGTCCTTGCTCTGACTTACAAACTCACACCACTGCCTGTGTAAGCACATGCAGGTTTCTAAATAGAGCCAAGAAAAACAGACTGCAGCTGAATTCTGCTTCTCCTTCTGTTTTAAGGACTGGACTATTGATGGGCAGAACAAGAGAGCTAATGCATTCATAGACTGGGAAAGCACACCAGCAGGTTACTTTGCATCTCTGACAGGATCTTAAAATCGTGACATAATTCAGATTGCATGGAACATCAGGAAGTTTCAGATCAAACCTACAGTCTGAAGCATGGCCACTTACAACAGGATGCTCAGGGCTTGACAAGCCATGTTTTGGAAACCCCCAGGGCTGAGGATCTCAGGTTCTCTGGACACTTGCTCCAGTGTTTGATTGCCCTCACGGTAAAAATAGTTTTCCTTTTATTTAATCAGATCTATCATGCAGTTCTGCAGAGATTGGCTTTTCTGTATCTCACCATCAAGCAGCTGTAGACACCAATAAGCTTTTCCATGGGACTTCTCTGTTTTAAGGCTGAACAAGCCCAGCTCCTGCAGCCTCTCACCTGTTGTGCTCTCAGCTGCCTGCTCAGTCCACTATGTCAATATCTTTATTGCACTGGAGCCCCCAAAGCTCCATGCAGTCCTCCAGATGTGGTCTTACAAATGCTGAACAGAGGGGGGCTAATGAATTTCCTTGACTTTTCAGCAGTGATCCTGTAAGTAAAGCCCAATATGCTGTTGGTTTCCTTTGCCTCAAGGGCACACCTGTAATTCCCACCCCTGGTCTTGTCTCTTTTTATTCTAAAGCTGTTCCCAACCCATCTACCTAGTCTGAACTGTGTAAGGGTTAGTCTGCCTCAGAGGCAGGACTGCTGCATTTGCCAGAGTTCATGATGTACCTGGCAGATAATTTCTCCAGCATCCTGAGATCTGCCTTTCAAGGAAGTCCTGCTCCTGCTGTCGCAGCTGCCCAGCCCACGCCCCAGGAGAGCAGCTGGCACATCCGCGCTATCGCAAACCTCCCCAGAGCCAGGTTCAGTGAAGTCCACACACTGCTGAAAGTGCCCTCTCCTGTGTCCTCCAGGATGTTAATAAAGATGTTAGATGGTACTGGTCCCAGTATTGACCACCTATAATGCCCCTGGAAAATGGCTGCCAGTTCAACTTTATCTGGGCAGCTGGGCTCAAAGGATGGTAAGGTACACTCCTCACCCATTGCAGGTAGCTACCCAGCCCAGATCAGTGATGTGACTATAGGCCGTTTTAAAAATAAATAAATTAAAAAAAAAAAAAAAAACAGCACATAAAAAAAAAAAAAAGAATTTTTTTAAAAAAAAAAAAAAAAAAAAAAAAAAAAAATTTTAAATTTTTAAAAAAAAAAAAAAAAAAAAGGCAAAATGGCTTT